GATAAATCTGGATGGATATCCATTTTGCATGAGGATCTTTCCTAGTTTACCCAATTCTTCGTCGATAGTATCACTCGAGCAGATTCTTTTGATACTTGAAGATCAAGAATGGATTAGATTCCTCTTTCTGCTGACATGCATTCAGCTGTGGAAATTCAAATATTGTCTTTTTCAAGTAGGCTTCCTATAGATTAATTGCTGAAGAGAACCATCTGGTCTCCGTTTCAATAAAACATTGAGAAAATGGAATTCCGAGTTCTCTTCAAATTCTGATGTGAAGCTGATCGATGGGTGACCATCATTGAACTTTTTAACTACAGTCTCAATAGCTGTATTTTGGTCGATTATGATGAATCTGTCATCCATAAATTTTTTGTATAGGTAGAAACAATCAGTTGTTGAATGCAACACACTATTCTCTAGCTTCGCCATAAAGCAATCAGCCAGCAACGATCCAAGTGGCGACCCCATGGCAACCCCATCCTTTTGTCTATATAGATCATTGCTGAATTTGAACTGCACATTGAAAGTACATCTTAGAAGCAGTTCCTTTAGGATACCCACTTGAAAATTATTATCTTCAATGAACTCACATAGAAAGCAGATAGTTTCCGTGAGTGGAACATTGGTAAAGAGCGAGACCACGTCCAGAGAAATCATTCGCTTACTGGATATATTGACATTACTAACCGAGTTGATAAATTCGAAAGAATCTAATAAGCTATGCGTGTTTAGCTGTTTTCTGACTGGCAGGAGGACGTCAGACAGCCACTTGGCAATAGAATGAAATGGCGAATTGTTCATGTCCAAAATTGGACGAAGAGGAAGATTTTCTTTGTGGACTTTCGGGAGACCATATAAGCGAGGAGTAACAGAACCAGAAGGTAGCAACTGCTGGAATAGTTCGGGACTGATGATAGACTCATTCTACTATATTGAGATAGTCAATGTTATGGGGGAATGGAGATCAAACCGAATGGAATGGTGGAACTGTTATCAGTCTAGTGTGCTAGTTGTGCAATGAAATCAATATTGACAGGACAATTACAGAATGAGGAGACAAAATCTACAGATGATGATTCACTTATATACATTCATTTGGAAACGAATTTGTGTATGTATGTCTTTGTCTACTAAGGTTCGAGAAATAATTATGTAATGATGAGTTATATTCAGATGGGGTGAAAATCATGTGAATACTACAAAGAAATAGAGAATAACAAATGTGAAATATTACGTCACGGTTTGAAAATGACTACAGGTTATGTGAATAAAGAAGGAGGTAAAGCTAATGACACAAGAAAATGAATGTTCATCAAATTGATGACAATACAGAAGAAAGGGATGGGAAGTTAAAATGTGCAACTGGTGGTAGGAAGGTTCATAAAGAATGTGTCGACCCTATTGCTGGCCAGGGTAGGCAAAGCGGATGTACATATATCTTTTGAACACATAAGTCCGGTTTTCTTGCTTTGATCCCTATGGCTTCGGCTATGGATAAGATGCAAAGTCGTACACCTTTAATGAGATTACAAGGGACATAGTATATCACAGAAAAGGCGTGTCTACCTTAATCTGATATCCGGTATCTACTAGGTGTGAGAGGATTGCACTGTTGATGTTCTTTGGCATTAGTTTCCCTAACCAAGATAGCACGTTCTCAAGAATGCACATAGATAGAGATGTTTGATTACGGCCTATGTGACTAGCTCCTCAAGAGATCATATTTATTGTAGCCGTTCTTACATATGATGAACGTATCATCCATATACGGGCAGTAATAGTCTAGTTTATCCAGTGTGTCCCTAAGTGCACCGTTTTCAAGTCTGACTAAAAAGATATCCGCTAACATAGGATCCAGAGCAGAGCCCATTGCAATCCCATCTACTTGTTGATATAACTCGTTATTAAACATAAAGTGAACATTCATTTGTTAAAACAGCATACAAAAGAGAAAGAGAAAGAAGCTACCCAATTCATAATCATCGGTGAGTGTGCAACAGTGGATTCCTTTTAGTATTTAAGCGATATTCATCATAATGGTTTACCGAAGTGAGCAGATTTGTGTCTCAGTGTATAAAACATAGTCTCCATACCCTTTAAGCATAGATATTTCAGCTCAAATGATAAAATGTACCAAAATTTTTTTCGTATCAAAGTATCTTGCGACAGGTAATATATACATAGATATCAAAGGAACAGAAGAATGAAACAATACCTTCTTTTGCCTATATCCATGCTGAATACTGTTTAATGCTTGTATCTTCTCTTCACCGTGAAAGTGGCTCAGTTTATTGTTCCTCTACCCAGCTTATAAGAACTAGAAGTATACACCCCGAATCATCAAGTGAACTAAGCTTTCAGTACAATTTCAAGGAATCAGACCACTACTATCTTGAAACTCTCACCAACCCTTGGCTCTAATTAGCAATCATCATTGTGAAGACCAGCAGTTTAAATAATACAATAAGAAGGACTGATAAAGTATTATTTTAATGGATTGATCTTCATACAGTGGCGTGGCAAATAAGGTTGAGAGAGAAACCATGGCATTGTTCAGACCAGATGTCTTTGTGTTCCTTTCTAGCATCAATGTAGACCAGGCTACCAGCCCTAGAGGTTACTATGGCTCAAATTTCTCTTTGCCTTAGACTCACGCCTTGAGACTTCAACTAAAATTTCTCCTCGTGAATAGGAAACTTGAATACTTCTTCAACAGAGTATAATTTCACACTAGATTCTTTATGTAGTGTAGCACCCAGTGACAGCATTATTTAGTGGATGTCGTTACGAGCATAATATACTATTAATATTCATTTGAAAGTAATCACATACCTTTCAAAATTAATTCCTATGGTTCAACAGGTCTTTTTCCTTCATTTTTACCAGTAGTACAATTTCCAAAATGTCATCAGTGTGTGGTGAATTCCTCTTGCTGCATGTGCTAGACGTTGATTTGATGAACAATAATTCTATAATCAACCCCTCCATCCACCTAGCCATCTTCTACTTTCTAACTATCACCCTATTCCACCGTATAGTGTGGTTATGAGCTAATGTATGCTGTAGAGTTTATCATTCTGTGTTTCGCTAAATTTGTGTGCTTCGTTGTTCTGACGGACGTCAATCGGTTGCATTGACCTATGTACCTGACCTCACAATCATTACATGGTATTTAACAGATTAGGTTATCTTGTTTAACTGACTCTACCAGATCTCTGGGTGAGTTTGTGGGTTTAAATGCCAGCCTAATCCCAACACTTGAGAATTTTACATAGGATTTCGAGTGACTTTGAAGGCCATTCTGGTAACTTCCGAGATAACCAGTTACGCTCCCCTTTTCTAGGAAAAACTGCTTTACCAGGCGAAATTCCAAAATTGGATTGATTCTTTTATCAGTTGCTGGAGTGATCTTTAAAATGGCTCAAAATATCCGATATCCCTTCTTTATATTGCAACACTACTAAGGTCATGAAATCCCTGTTAGACATGTGGCAGTCACTGCTAATACTATCCCTCTTTCTCTTTTGTTTTAATAAACTATTTAGTAAACTCTGGAGTGTAGTTATTACATAGTAATGTCTCTTTTCAATGTTTTACACTACCTTAATTAGATTTTTAGACTTACTAGGCCGATTGCTTAGGCATTCCTTCAAGATCTCCTTGACAGAGATGATATGAAACTCATGGATCTATTCGAATATATTGGTTTCCTTAATATGTCTACTGCATTATCTCTCTTGAATTCGACTTTCGATAGTAAAATCTTTCTCGGAGCAGTATGTGATCGTTTCGTAGTGTCTTTCGACTTTAGACTCTTATCTATAGAACTTCAGGGAGTGCACTTTCTCATCAAGACTTCTCGTAAGTTTTCTTCCTCGTCATGAATAGTATCCTCCGAGCATATTCTTCGCATTCTTGAGGAAAGTGAATTGACAAGACTTCTCTTTCTGCTTAAGAGCATACACCTATGAAAACTATTAAACTATCCGCTCCAAACGGGCTTTCTGTAAACAGACCTCTGGACTGAATTGTCACCTTTTCTTTGAAGCTGAACGTCAAGGAAGTGGAATTCTGCGTTCTGCATCTAAAGGGAATGCGGTAAATGGATTAAGACTACTAAAGGTTTGAAGTAGGTGTCCGAGATTTGTATTCTTCTCACAAGTAATAAAGGTATCATCTATGTCTGTTTAGTAGACTTGAAGTTCGCTGATTATTTTCCATGAGATTGCGTTTCCTGGGCTCATCACTAAACAGTCAAATAGGAGGGGTCCAAGAAGTGACCCTATTACCATGGCCCCTATTTGTCTGTATATTTTGTCGTCAAGTCTGAAGGGCATGTTGAAAGTAAATCTCAGAAAAAGTTCCTTTAAATAATGATTTCGGATACCGGTGTTTAACTTATGAAACTGAATGGAGCTACGCAAAAAAACAAATGTTTTCCGTTAGTGAGACATTTGTAAATAAGGAAATTACATTCTGTTCACTACAGTCGACTTCTGTGTCTTCTTAACATCAAAAATAATTGAACAAGACATATAAGCAAACAATATTGTTTCCAATTAGATCGTCTCCAAACTTTACTCTAATATAAATAGTTGAATATATATAAAAATCAAACCAATCATGTAAGTTTCTCGGTTAATATGATAAGTTTTATAATAACAATGGTGATAGCAATAACAATAATAATAATGATAACATCCATAGTGTTGACCAAAGTAGTTGCAATATAGATAATAATGGTGATAAAATACTGGGTGATGACATAAGGTAAAATTAAGACCTGAGTTGTGTAAAGCATGAAAATGTAGACACTGGGATAATCTAAGCGGGTCAAAATCTAGAAAAAATAAAACAAGATGAGATAAAACAGAACCTCTAATGGATTTTATCTGTCCCTTTCAAAACCCATCTGTTGAGATGTCCTGAAAATAATCGAGTATATAAGACATTGAATCTACTATACAAAAGAAACATTTCTTCAACAGATAACTTACATTTTCTTTACCATCAATATAATATCCTGGAGCACATTCACAAATATAATTAGCCATACTGAATGGAGGTGAATGGTATCTTTTGTAGACGCACTGTAAAAAATATAAAAAAGAAACAATTCTTTTAAGTACTTTTCGCTGGTTCGACAACTAAATTTCGCGTGACTAAAGTTCCCACAGACTCAAAAATCTATCGACCTCATTGAAATTTCAATTCATACCGTTGTTAACCCTGCATTGCTGAACTGAATATGTGCTGGTTATCTAAATGCCTGCACTTAACTTGTGACCAGATTACGCCTTGTCTAATAGTGATTAGCATGTAAGCTCCAAGTTGAATATTTTGCTCCATTTTGGACTCATAAGACTATTTCTATTCGTTCATGAGCAAACCAAAGGTAAGGGATGAAGAGTGGATGATTCCCTCTTGTTAGTCAATGTCAGAAAAGACCGAAAGTTCCATTTCCACTGAACACCAAGTGCTTAGGGTGACTTTGGAAACAGATAGGCAACTCTTAAGAGGTTTAACACATTGATTCCTATATCATATCTCATCCGAATAATCAAGATACAAGTAAATACTCTTGATTAGTCCTAAATAGGAAGAGATACAGGCCCTGTATTCGATTGTCTACTACTATCAGGCAGAATCTTACTCACTGACGGGCAATTCAGGTTGTCATATACTTCCAAGACTGTATCCTGTACTATAAGGTAATTTTTTCCTATTTCTATAACGAACTAGTCAGATCTCGGATAGTTCATGGGCAATGCACTCAACTTCGGTGCTGTATTATGCCGATATCAAGAAATCAAACGCCACAGGGCGATACTAATTAAAGTTTCGGAAGGCATGGGAACCAGGATCGTAGTTTCCGAACAACTGTAACTTACTGTCAAACGCAGTGTATTGGTTTGTTAACCGTTCACATAATGGACCTTATTGTAGAATTTTGTAAATAGATTTTGATTACTGAATAAAATATGACACATATGGGAACGAGTTTATATTTTTCTGCAGTATAATTCCAGGTAATCAGTGTATTTATTAGTTGGATAGATACATTTTCATTTGCAATCATGTTAGCGGCACAGTCCCATCTTCTTTTCGTAACCTAAGTTAAGATGAACTAGAAGGGAGGAAGTCTGACTGGTTCACTACTTAGCTGATGTGAGATATCTTTAGTTACCATTTGACTCTCTGAGATAGCTTTAGTTTAGCAGACTAGTATTTATACTGGGTGATGATTGATGTTCTTAGTTGGCGACTAGAACTTGAAATAAACCTGTTTAATGGAAAAGAATACAGCTTCTTAAGCTAAGAAGAATGGCATGTTATGACAGAATGTTGATAGGGAAAGGAAAACAAACTGTCTCCTCTCTTTCCATGAGATATTTTCCTCTTCATGATGAGCAAAGTGAACCATCTCAATTTGACAGTAATAAAAAGAGGTAAGTATCGAATTGTAACACGTTCCACTAAGATACAAAACAGAATTTTCAGAAACTTGTGACAGATAGGTCTTCAGTCAACCTTTTCAAGAAGATTGTGTTGTGTTCTCTGAGGTGAGTTGTTTTCTCATAGAGCTTTCATCGTCTTTCTAGACGACATCTTCAGCATTAACTTCAGTAAGAAGTGGGCTGTCAATATTTCTCCGCGAGTGATTTAGTGTGTGTTGTGTATAACAGTCAATGTCACAACAAGCAAAAGGGCAAGCTACTAAATCAGTGGCATAGAAATATCGACAGCTCACTTCATACTAAAGTTAGCGCTGAAGATGTCAAGAAAGACGATGAAAGCTCCACGACTAAACAACTCGGATCAGAGAACACAATACAACCAAGACCATCCACTTGAGCTACAAATATCCTCCACCATTTTCAAGAACCAACATACAAACCAAATATGATAAGAGGACAATGATATCTCACTGAGAGAATTAAATTGAAGCTAAAAGAGGCCCTTTTGCTACTGAACGATAAAAAAGACTAGTAACACCGAAGACAAGTATAATATCATTCAGTGATGTTACTCATTCCTTAACCTAATCCTGTACAAAATGATGCTGTCGTCCTTCTAAAATTCACCCTACTCTTTTCAGCTGTTTCCAGTGACTTTTAGATAGTATTCATCCCGTATAGTCTGTAAAGTGTAAGTGTAACAATGATTCCCTATATATGCATTTCGCTTGTACTTCAAACTCACTGCTTTTTCTTAGTTATTTCCAACATCTTCAGTAAGTAATTCGCGATGGTATAACCCTTTCAAGCTTTAAATGAACCATGTTATGTTTTACTACCATTGTTTGATTTAAATAAAGCAGACAAGGTCAATGGGCATTTATTTTGAAAGATATTTCCGATTCAACAGTTAACAGGCATTTAGGGTAGAACTTTTGCGGCATTTAGAATCTTTGACCATTCGTAAGTAGATCTCGTGCAGAAGTTATAACTATATATGCTCTTTGTTGAGGAGTGTAGACTGCAACATCAAAAAATTCCAGACGTTTTCAGTATTATAAGAAAACTGTTAGTTTCCCCTTGTAATTTTTAGCATTTTCTCAGTCCGGTTGATAATTTGTGTGGGGCAGACATGGTTTTGCCACAAAATTTGCTAAACATTTCGTTTAGGGATTTTTTAAATCATAACAATGATGAAATTCAGTATATTTTGGGGATTTCCTCATAGTTGCAAAACATACGAGACTAGACCATGTAAACTTAAAAGCTTCAGTAGTCGTAAACAAATTCAGCTAAATCTTAATATGAATTTACCAAAAGAATTCAAGCCTTACGGCAGTCCTGAAAGTAAGCATATTGAAGGTGAGGATAACTATGACCCTGAATCACTCAAAGCGGCTACAACAAGTTCAGAATAATAAGATAATTTGATGATATCTCATAGCCCTGTCTTCAGCATCTTACATCCTAACAAATGGTAGCTTTTAGGATAGAATAAATGATAACATAGTTTACGATTACTAAGCTCAGCTCCCAGTGGAAGATAAAGAACAGATTGATTTGAAGTGCTATGGTGAAACAGGAAACGCTTAAAATAATGGGTTTTATGCAGAGCTGCGTTATTATTGATGGTTGGTTGCCAACTAATCTGCCCTTTTAAACGCATAGATTGTGTTTAACCTTTTAACTGCTATGGCCCCTGCGAACGGGTTTAAGCTTGAATCATGTCATGGGTTGATTATTTTGAAAGCTGTTTTAACGTCAGTCTCTTATTTCCTGTCCTGTAAGTGAGGTGCTAGCAAACTGTTGATACTGTATGGCCTCCTGAACTATACATTCTTTGAGAAGTGTTTACAGAAGCAAGTATACATCCATCTCTCTCTATCCTGTGAATGTAGCTACTTTGGTACAGACACGTAGATTAGTAAGTGCATTTAGACATGATATGAGGTGGATAACCCTCTCCTTTTGTCGAGCTCACTGAAACCTGCGTCTTAATAGAAGGTGCCAGGTTTGCATTCAGCTAGTGAAAGAAAGCACATTTATGAAGCATTTGAAAAGGGATATTTCACCAGTAGCTTTATTTGAATCTGAAAGTGATGTAATAACATCTAGTAAACTACAACTTAGACTGGATGAATCAGATCCCTATACTAGCTCAATACTTGACAAAACTGATTCATTTTAACCGAATCATCACTACATACAACGGAACAGAATGAATAACAAGAAATAAAAGTGCTGGCCAAATATTTGAATGCACTTCAGTCTCACGAACATCAGAGAGATAGAAGAATCACCTATATTTAAAACTGTAGACAACAGAATCTAATTATAATCTTACATTTAGATAACAAACAGTCAATCTAGGACAATGTGAAAGCCAGCAAGTAGCTAATAAGTTATCAGCAACATTGTGTTCTGAGGTCAGTGGAGCTTTTATTTTTAAAACAGTATTCACAATGGGTCGATATCAGTTGGAGAACCATTGGGAACCTGGGATGAGTCGACAACTACTTTGCCCTAGAACAGGACTCTTTAGCAGTACGTACATGAAGCTCCACTAGAGGTCAGACTCACAACCTTCAGGTTTCACAGCGAACCCGTTAACCATTCGGCCGCTAGGTTGGAGTTCGGTGCTCCACAGTTTCCTACTACTATCGATTCACGGTATATCGCGACTATCATCCAAGGTCTTAAGTTGACATCAGCTTCACTTCCGATTTACCAAGAGATAAAAAGCTGCAATTTTACCTCCTGTTCCTCTTTCTCTCCCTTACTATGTTATTAAAATGTCATGTTCAGTGAGAAGGTGAAAATTATCTTTATAGCAGCAGTTTAGTCCAGTTTGCACTAAATAATTAGGCGGATCTGCAACCACGAGGAAGTTGGTTTTCCGTAAGGGATTTGAACGTGTGTCACTCAGGCTACGACTGACCTCTTGAAGGACTGAGTTATGTACACAAATTGGTGACCAATAAATAATCGATGTGTCTATCTATTCCGGTTGACTCACACCATCTAACATCATGACATAGTGCATCGCAAATTAGCATCGTTCGACTCAGTGGCCAAGCTGCAAAACTTGATGCATAGACTTCCGTCATTCCTGGATGGCATGGCATAGAAAGCTAAGTGGGGACCTATTTTCTATCGTCTTCATCAGCTTTTCAGCTGAATTCGTTCAACACGAAAGCCATCAAACAGCACTTGCGCAAATTTACTGATAAGGCTGTTTGAAATACTTCTTCATTCATTATGTTCAATTATCATATATATTTCCTTAATTAAGGAGGTCGTTTCCGCTTTACGGATACAGCATTTTTGTTAAACATTGAAAAGAAAATCGAGTTTTGTACATAATGCAACAATGACTGTTTCAAATCACTCCCCTCTGTGTATTGGCTTCATTCTAGCGTAAAATCTTTTTGCTTGTATTTTAAATCAGGAAAACAGGTTAAAAAGTATCTTTAGTTTAAAAATGAAACGGGATCTTGCGATATTTACATTTTTTGCAGTTACTACCTATGAAAGACTGCAAGCATAAAAGCTTTACAACACCCTGTAACGCTTTTCTTCTTCTTCTCCTGGAATCACTTCGTCTTCCTCTCAATAAAGAAGTTAAGATTCTTTGAAATCGTACGGGTTGAAACCCATTGCAAACATCGAATTTCGGACAGTCAGAGAGTAGTATCCTCCTCAATGCGACAGATTTGACTTAATGCATGAGTGTGCCCACGGTTGTTGAGCTCATTGTTCGTAGGACAAAAAGCGATAACATGAGAGGTAGACTGAGTGTACTACTACTCAAGGACACCTACTTGACTCCATTTCACCTTAACTTTCCGTTATCTGTATTACAGACTCTGAAAGGATAACGGCGTACGTGAGGAAATCTATTACATTCAGTAGTGAACTAATTTAACACGAACCTACAATGACTTATTGGTTTTCATTAAGTTTTGATTTTAACAACAGTGGAAACTAACAAACTTTTGAAGCTGCAGAAAGTGGTCACCTACATGCAAACGCGTTGAAATAAAATATAACCGACACCTGAAGCTAGTATTCTGCATAAAAGTTGGAAGCTTACATCAATTAGATTAAATTAGTCAAGACATCAGGCATCCATCAAGTTGATGTAAAGAAATTATCGAAGACTTTAATTTCAATGAAGATATCTTTCAGAATGATTTCGTTTTCGAGAGTTATACAATTGCAATCTTTTTACGTTCCCGTTCTTGATTCCCATAAAATTAAAGATATTTTGCTCCTGTTAAGCAGAGCAACAAATACAGAGCTAAATGAAAGTCAGAATAGTTTTTAAAATGATGTAAAAGGAAATAAGGATCAATCATTATTAAACAGAACAGAAAATGAGAATATTAACAGGTTTCAATACAATGCCATATAATCTGCTACAGTAATTTGCTATAAATGTACTTTGGAACCTCGCGGTTGTGGACTTCATTATGACAAGGGTTAGATAGGTCTTTTGTGTTTACACAATCCCGAATTCTCTAGGTATATGATAAGGGTTTCTGCAGTGTAAGAGTTAGAAATGTATGGTATTTAGTAGATATCTTTTTATCATGTAAGTCCCTCTTAGTAAAGTGCCTGCTGTGACACAGTGGCCAGTGTTGACAAAATGCTAGACAAGAGGAATCCTGACGGATCTAACGGCGTATCACTTCAGATTTGACGGGAAACAAAGAAGCAGCATAAAACGACTAACATGCCTAGTTCATTATCAGCAGGCTAAGTGACGTACATCAGTTGAAGTGATCTAGTTTAGAAGTTCATACGTTACGTTAATAAGGAATACTGAGAGGCTAAAGAAAATGATTCTCAAGGTTGCTGTAAACCAATTCTGCTTAGATATTTAGAAGCCTTCCTTTTCAAGATAATGCTAGTTCAGATTAATGTAAAATGAATCCTGTAGCATGATTTCCAGTTCCTCCTTCTACGATTCAGACATTAAATTTCTGCTCGCGGATCGTACTTTATTTCTGTTTCAGGTTCCAGTTTTACTGGGAATTTAAGACTTCTCTTCTAAGTAGTCAGGACTACAGATTCATCTAACATGGTGGTCACTTGGCATCGCTGGTGTTCTTCTTTGGCTGTGAAGCGCCCTGGTATAACCGTCTATTAGCTTGCTTTTTCAAGAAGGCTTTCTGTTGATTGGTCTTCACAATGTTCGATGGCTCTGCATCCAGAAACAAAATTCTGATTCTTTTCCATCTTCGAGTGACAACTTATCCGAAGAATGACAGGTGTTAAACATTTCTAGAACATAATTGAAATCAAAACCACTACAGGAGATTATAAACTTGTCACCAAGATACAATATGTAAACAAGAAAATTATCTGATACTGGCTTAAATGATTGTCTTCTGAACCAGGCAAACGCAACCTCAGTCAGTTTGTAATCTCGAACACTCCTATTGAAGACATATTGGTACGAAAGTTAACCTACAATTACTATCACTTACATCTACAATAAAACAAAACGGTGGTCACAGAAACACGTGATACTGACTCAGAATCCCCTAACATTCAGATTGTACTTAAGACTCTAGTGAAACTCTCCACTCAAAAATAACTCCATCTTTCCTGAACTTCTGGAATTAATGCTAATGGTGGAACCGAGTTCTTTCGCTTATATTGAAAGAATGTGAAGTAACGATGAAGGTGTCAAACGAATGTATTCATGATAAAATTTTAAAGCACAACCTTCATAAACAGTAGGCAAAAAGAAAGCACCAATTATCTACTTACTTGTGTTGTCGCCCCACATCGATTTATGTCCAAAGCACATTGGTCAATGAGAAAGTTCTTCAGATCATACTCGAAAAATAAGCTAAAAATAAACAATAGGAAAATTGTTTACAATACCTAACAAAAAAAATCAGGTTACATATAATAGCAAGCCACATGATAATTTCATATTCCTACACTGTTGTTACATGTGATCACTTCACAACACTGAGTTACGATGACAGCTGTCATAAATCTCGATGAGAATGACTGAAGTATATCCAGAACTAAACAGGCTGGTGAATATTTTCCTCTCTACAGGGTGAGAACGCGTAGCAAACATTTTGACAATGGCCAATGTATGAATAGGAACCATTAGCAAACCAATTTCGTACTGAATAGGTTTGTGCTCTACCACAGTGCCCAAATTCTCCTCCTTAGCAGTCTAAAACGCTGTAAGCTTAAGTTCTCAGTAAGTCAACAAAGCGTTTATAACAGAAAGACAGGTAAAATCAACGTAGAACCTTGCACACACACTGTAGTTTAAGCAAAACAAGTGGAGAGGAAAGACTGATTTCAGAGTAGATAGAGGTGTACAGAGCGAGAGGAAATTTGAAAACCGAAGAAGCCAGAGAGTGGATATATCTGCGTCATTATGACTGGTTTTCAGCTAAATCACCAACAATCCTCAACCATTGATTCCTATGGCCTCAAAGACCCCAGCCAGGTAGTCTACATCTCCAGACGTGGCTCAGACCAACAGTCAGGAATTTCATAGACCATAGTCACCTCTTAGTGTGGTCACCCTGAACCTTCTTCCAACACAATCCAACTTCTTGTAGCATTCCACGTTGAGGTGGGCAATGAAACGGCATGTGTAACACATATCTAAGCCACCTTATTTGCAAAAGGTTCACGACCTCATCAACCAACTTTCCCTCCTTACCTAGTACATTTTCCCTGACCTCGACATAGCTAACATGGTGATTTCAGCACCTGCAAGCAGTTCTATGGAGACTCTTTCGGTCATAAACTTGTAACTACTGCATATCTTCTACTGTAAGAGGCCATATCTCACAGTTCTATAACATGAGTACAAAACAGCAGGGAACTTACACTCTATGGATCAGAACTTGTCCCCTGGGTTCTGGTCATAGCTGTATGACATTTGGGTGGATGATCTATTTACCAATACCAAACTGAAATCCTTTGCATCCACCACAGCATGTACAATCAATGTCAGTGGAGATAATCATAATGGCAACACTGACAATGGCTTAATAATGACAAATTAAAAAAAGACTGGTTCATTATTAAAAGACAGCCTGGATAACATAGGCCAGAATAAGCTTCTTTGTGTACGGAAAGAAAGTTCAGTTTGACTTCAATGTTCTGTTTGAAAGGAATTATTGACCAGAAAGTGACCTGTGAGATCAGTCAAGTTTGAGGTGAGCAGGGATACCCACCGATGATATTAAATGCGACCCAGGCTCTATCACGAATAGATAGAAGTAGAACCATTGGCTTCCAACCGAGTGACTGAATAGGGACCTGTTCACCTTTAGACCTAAATGTCCTGGGCATAGTACTTCACAGGGTTGTGCGTGCGCAATATCCTACAGCTATCCAGTGCTCACAAGTTTTCAGTGGCTTTTTAAGTGATGTCAGCTTGTAATAGAAATCACTTCCACTCTTTTTTTTCTCATTAAAAGCCCTCACACTTTCTGTTACCTTCAAACAGTTCAGTTTTCTAAAAAGAAACTAAGTAACGAATTAATTTTTGTACTAACTCGTGAGATCAGGTGACAGTCAAGTAAAAAGTACCTAGACACTATTGGGAAAAGGTACTACGTACCTAATGGTTGAGAATCAGTAATGTTAGGAAAAAACGAAACTTTCACAATACAAAAGGTGAAACATGCTAAACGACAGCTGAAAGTTTCATTTTACTGGTCCCCTTCATGAACTTGAATAGATCAAGACCAACCAACTTTGCAGAATGTAAGTGTATTCTTCCATTCTGTTGTCTTTTTATCAGCTTATTAGCTTGAAATATCTGAAGAAAAGGTGACAAAATGTATTAATACCACTGAACTCTTCAAAATTCATTGTTCTTTATGCAGGACATCTAGAAGTGTTTAATCGCTAAAATGGTGCAGCTGTATTGGGCACGTGTGGTATTTTGTCCTTAGTTGTGTTGCATTTTGACATTGATAGCGCAAGATGTCGATGATATGTCTAACCACGGAATACTGAAGATGTCAACCACCTGGAACAAACTATTTACCTTATATAACTTATAACTCCTCAAACCTTAAAATAGTTGGGAGCACTCATGCAGCTAAATAACCTGTCCAGTGCTCCCATATTTTTTAATGGTTCCCCAAATGATGTCAGTCCATGATGAATACTACTTCTAAAGAACCTAATTTCAAGTTTAGTCATTTCAAATAGCTGTTGCTGTATTTGTGCATTTGCAGATGGCCTTAAATCTTAGAATTCCTTAGAAAAATTTCATTGTGAGCTAATGAATAAGATTGAAACAGAAAGTGTGTAAACAGCGTTTAGAAAATTTCTTTCACGTATTCTCATTATCTTTCATTATTTTTAACTCATCTACAGATTTCCTAAGATTGACGTGAGGGTGGTATTCTTCACGGATCGACATCTGATGTCAATTCGGAATGAATACTACCTAGACATTACTTGATCCCCGCAAACCTTCAAAATGCATCTGTTAAAATTCACTGAATTAAAATGTAAGCTGAGATACTGGACAGTATTTATATTTCAGCCGTGGTCTTGCTGTTATGTTTTCTGAGGTTAGTTATGAGGCTTTCATTGTCATTCCATATAGTATTATCAGTACTAACTTCTAAAATTGGTAAGTAATCAGAATGTATGCATACGTAGCTGCTTGTTTCTGTCACATTGTCATCATTGTCTTCCCTTGTATTTTGATTGTGAGTCCACTCATCAGAACTCTAATCTTCTTCTTCTTATTCCATATGTTTCCAATTAATTGGTAGACTGGATCAATGCCAGTGTACCTGTTGATCACCGACTAACCCCAGTACCAAGTGTCTTAAAACTCCCCAGAGTTCTTTATACCCCTTTCACCTAAGATTTCTGTACTTTCTCAGTAGTTTAAGTCTAAAATTTTCACTATGCATTTATATGAGCTAAGATAAATCGTGGTGCTTTACTTTTGACTAACATTCATTTTGCATTCACGAAGTCTATTTTTAGATAACGCTGGAATTTCTTCCTTGGCAATTTTCTCTTTTGACCTGCATAATATGGAGTGAAAAGATTTTTTAGGCTCGTGAGCTACTATGATTTCAGAGAGCTTCAGTAATCCAGTTGTAATCTCAAAGACGTTCTGCATGTAAGATCAGACAATCTGTCTGTTTATTTTCAGGGATGACTCCTCACTTGATGGCGAATTCAGCTTATACGTTTTGACAAAGCAGCGTGGATATCTGCTCTTCCAAAAAAGTCGTCTTTCTCTTTTTTCCGTGAGACTGATGTACTATATAGTGTTTTCGATCTTTTGAATAATGTTTTTGTGCAAATGATTCTATGTGTTGTTAAAATGTTGCCACAGCAGACAGATAAAATCAACATAGGACCTCACACACAACCACATCGGTTCAACTTACCATACTTCAGCGTAGTATACAAAGAAAAAGTGTAGTGAAAAAATGATATGAAAGTAGGCTAGGTTGTGTAAGAGAATAAACAGTCTGAAGATAAAGGTTAGTCCTAATATTCAATCTTTAGAAAACGACAGAGGGTGAATACATCTGTACCATAGTGACCAATTTTCGACTATGTCGTCAACAGTCCTCAACCACTGGTTACTTTTGTCTTTGGAACCCCAGTCAGGTAATCTACATCTCCCCACACGGCTCAGACCAACATTCAGAACTTCATGTACTCGCGCCACACTTTCGTCTGGCCGCACTAAATCGTCTTCTAGCCTAATCCAACTTTCCCTAGCATTGTTCGTCGACGTCGTCGGCATGCACAACGCACATCTAAGTTATGTCGGTCCACCAGGGTTCCCAATCTCATCAGTCGACTTGCCTATCTTGCGTAGAATCCTTCGCCTGACCTCAATACTGCTCACGCGGTGATTCCACCGAGCACACGCAATGCTAAAAATACATGTGGTTGATGATTCGATCAGTGTAAACTGGTTTCTTGTATACTTCAATTTCCTGTCTTTCCTAATCAATCCTGGTAAACAGAACATTTCAACGTGAGAAAGTTTTACTGACCTCTCTTCAGTTGTGGATTTTATGATATGGAAAATGCTACTGAATAACTTGTAAAATTTTCTAATACATTTGTTTTCGTAATTTCAAACCTATCATTCACATACCGAACCAAACGTTTTGGTCTGATCAATGATAAAACAACAGTTTCTTATCATTGCTTTACTGTTTTGGCAATTATTTGGGATATAACTGATCTCGAAAATGCTCTTTTTATTTATTTATGCAGTTTATTTTTGATTAAGATATTATCAAGAACAAACCATTGATTTATTTTTTCTACCAAACTTGAAAATTGTCGTTTTGTATGTCTAGTGAGGTATGTATCACTGAAGCGAAAAAGAGTCATACCGATTTTATCCACTTTGGATTAGAATGTGGTGTGAGCAGCTACAAAGTCGAAGAAGACTATCAGTTCATTTTTTTTCGATGTGAATATTCTTAGTCCTTTTCAAAACTGTAGTCGGAAAGTTGACAGTATACACGTGATTCCACCAAATGCTTCAGTTTTCTGAACAGTTCTTTTGAAAGACTGCATGCTAAAATCCCTGAGGGTGAAACAAATGGTAGTAAGGAGAAATTTAGTTTGTGTTGTTTCGGGTTATAACGAAAAGGTGGTGGAAAGATCCATTAGACGCTACCTACTATTGGTTAGTTTTGTCAGTTAACCAGTTTTGACAAGTCTGCTTGACGTGTTAGTGATATAACCATCTGACTTCTGAATACTTTTTCCTAATTGACTGATACACACATTTCTCAGTCTTCCAATAGCTATGTTTCTCATGGGATAGCCAAGTATAACTTTTTGTCCCCGGTCAGAGGC